CTTCAATTAGTCGAACTGTAACATGTATCCTATTCTAATTGGTACACAAGCCTAAATGAACTTGGACTCGCAAACGCATGATAATAATAACGATAACGGACTCACAGGTCCAAAATTAATAAAAAGCTCGCAGGCCCATAACAATAATAATAATAATAATAATAATAATAATAATAATGGACATGCAGGTCCAAAACAATTAAGGGCTCGCAGGCCCATAAAACAACAAGAATTAAATCAACCATTGAACACATCCACATGATCGAGTCCATAATCATCCATAAATAAACATTTATCACATAAATATTTCCTATACATAATATCTAATATTATATGCAATGTCTTAAGAATCTGACAATTATAGTCGTCAAAACTTATTTAGATAAATGGATCGAAATAATTAATTAATTAACTAATGGCGGGCCTATTTAATTAAAATCAAATTTATTTAATCAAAATCAAAATTTAATTAAATTCCGAATTAGAGTCCAATTCTAATTCTATAAAATTTAGGGTGTGATAATTTAATTAAAATCAAATTTTAATTAATTATTAAATTAGAGTCCCACTCCAATTTCAATATACAGTGGGGAAATAATATTAATTAAAATCAAACTTTAATTAATATAAGATTAGAGTCCAACTCTAATTAAATGGAACTAAAATTAAATATTTAAATTAAAATCTAATTTTAACAAAATATAAAGTCGTTAATTTTAAATATAATTTTAACTTTGGGCCAATTTAAAATATGGGTCAAACCCAATTAAAAACACAAATTTAAAACCCATTTTAAAATTTGCACATTGACCCAAATCTAAAATTAAAATCTGACCCTTCTAACTTAACAAACTGCAGAAAAGGTCCATGGCTTAAAATTGTAAAATTTACCCATTTTCATAACTGCAGGAGCCCCCCAAAAATTTCACAAATTTCAAGGGAGGCCCCCGTCCCCAATTAGACCTCAAATCCTAAATCTTAATTTTTTTTAATTTTCTCATCTGCCGGCACTGGCTGCCCAGTAGCAGTAAGAACAAGCTTTCGCTCTGCTTTGCAGCGGCAGGCAACGGTGTCTACCGCTTCTTTAGGTAGCGTCGGCCTTTGCCGTGCCAGCTACCGTCGTCGGATCCAAGAAAAAAACTTTTTTTTTGATTTATTTTAAAAATCAAAATTTGAAAATTATAAATACTTTAATTGCTAGATTCAAAAACATGATGAAAAATCAACTTTTGATTTCATAAACATGTAAATCAATTTCTAACAAACACAAAATTGACTTTGATACCACTGTTGGGAATTTACTTAAACATGCGCAGCGAAAATAAAAACAATTTCAATTTCTACTAGGATTCATATTTGTATTTAGATATGAACTGTAATAAAAGCTATACATTTTCTTAGATTTGCAAATTCCTTTGCGTTTCTTTGTTTCAGTAATTTGGATCTGTCTCCCACAGCTGTTCAATTGTCCAGCCTTCAATGAATTCCACACAGAGCAGTTGCAGCTATTAGGATTTTCTCCTTTTGTACTAGCAAGAATTATGAGAAATCTTCTCAGATAGAAAACCCTAGTCATGTCTTTATATAAGTCCAAACGGGCTTGACCTGGTCCGGTCCAATATTTAATCAATCCATTTAATTAAATCCGGTGCGTGAATTAATTAATCCAATTAATTAATTCGGGCCTATAAATAACTAACCCAATTAATTAATTTATCCAACGATTGTTAAATTAATCAATTGACAAATTGCAATCTTTCAATTTTCTTTTGTGTGCGACCCATTAAGTTCCCGACCACGATATCTAACGACGTGAAATATTATTTTGATCTAATCAAAATTGATAAATTAAAACACCCTTTTAATTTATCACCAATTCACACTTGCCGTCTTAGATTGACATCTAGCAATGTATCAGGGCAACACATGTGACAAAAAATGTCACGTGGTATGATAAAACCAAACTTATTCGTTTACCATGAAATTATAATCCCTTCGTCAATATGATTCGATCAATTACGAGATATGGAAGTGTGTCAATCTCGATTATCGATCATATCTTTCATTCTACTATTAAGTGAACGTGAGTCGAAAACTCCTTTTTGACTTATGAGTAAACCTTGGCCAAGGATTTTGTTATTGACTTAATTGAACGAAATGCAGATCACAATCTCTTACTATCTAAGAGTGATGAATCCTCCATTGATCATTCCCAACCTTCATATGATTCTTAACATGCACAAACGATGCCGTATTAGCGGCCCTTGACAGAGCAATATCCAACACCGTCAAAGCATAACTGTCCTCATACAAGGCACTATAACGACCTCAAGTCAAAAGACCAATTCCACTACCGAACTTTAGAAATTAACCACTAACACTCAGATAGTTATCCATGTGGAATCTCTTGGATGGTCTCCAATGTTTCGTTCTAAAACATCCACGCGTTCATTTAAGTATCATCACACTTTAACTCGTGAGATCAGCTATTTACTTCACAAAAAAATGTCACACGTGATGGTCTATCCGTAATAACGATATCCGTATCTTGTTATTAGTTACGACCATGGATTATTCAAGATCCAATCATATGTAATTTGTATCTCACAATCACAACTCTTTGTGATTAATAAATCACTTAAACTTGAATTTTTGGACTCTATTATTTAATATTATTTATCAAAATATTAATTTAAATAAATAATATATTTTACCAAAAATAAATGCATTAAACATATTAAAAGTGTTTATAAACTAAATCGATTGGATTTAGGGCATAACACTTACAATAACATTTTATCAAATGTCACAAAATATGATCAGATGATTCTTGAAGTATTTTATCAAGTTTGTTAAATTTGAAAGTGTATTCTAAAAGTATGATAATTATGTATTTTTCCTTTGATTATTGGGGCTTATGTTTCATGACTGCCAATGAGAAAATATGTTGGGCTTTCATAGGTTTGTGTCCTAAAACATCAACATCTATATCTATAATATCTTAAATATCATATCAAATGAGAATCATTTTTGGATAATTCTAGTACTATTATAATTCAATTATTTCAATAATACCCACTTTTGATTTTCAATATATATTTAATTTATTTAACCATTTAGTTGTCATCGATGTATATGTACATTTGACAGAATCATTTCACCCATATGCTTTCATTAATGTATGAGTTTCATATTATTAATTTTCAATTAATTAAAATCAACGTTCATTTAATTAATATTCATCTTCATTTATGCAGTTCAGTGTTATTAATTTTAAATATAAGTTAATTAGAATTTCACATTCAAGAAAGTATGTCTTATTCACGTCCATGTATACTAANACCCCCCCCCCCCCCCCCCCCAAAAAAATCCTTTTATTGAGCCCCCTTGCAGTAGCAATTTTTCACTAAAAAAAATTAATTTTTTGACCGTTATTTCATTATTTCAGCCATTATTTTTGACTTTTTCATCCACAGGTGAGATCCAATTTTTCTCTAACAATTAAAAAATCAATTTTCGTAATCACTATCGAACAGATCCTAAATGTCAAACAGTGGCTTAACTTTACATTCTCCAAAAAATCACACATTTTCTCTCATTATCTCATACTATTGGAGCTCAAATAGGGGCTAAGGAATTGAAGGTAAATCGCTCAGGTAACTCTCGAGTACACGGTGACCTCTATTTTTGTCAAGTTCAGCAATATTGAGCCACATTGAGCTTTTGAATGTATCATCGTGCTAATGTTTAACCTCAGGTGCTTTATCAAGTTTAACACGATATATGGCTTTTGCATCTAGTTCGTCTTGGTATGTGTCAATTCAGTTTGGCACTATTGTAATGTTTTGACTATTATGTGTAGTTGATCTTGAAATTTTGATATTTGATTTACGATGATTCATTGAATGACATTGACGTGTTGGCTTTCTTTTGTGGTTAGATCATTTAAAAGAGTTACGTTAAATCTTAACTTTATTATTTTATATATATCATGCGAATTATTGATGTTAGTCAATCATTGAACTCAAATCATGTTCAAATTTGCTTATCAACTTGGCTTTCTACTTTGATTTTTTCTTATTTACTCTCTCTAATAGACACCCTACAAATAATTGGGTTTGCCCCTCGGGGCACAGCTCAACTGGTGGATCAATCAACATTGGCTTGCTTCTAACGACAGGGTGGAGAGTTCGATTCTTGGTGGGAACCTGCGGCCAAATATTTGGTATGGAGCAATCACTGTTGAGGAGGGTCTCTTGTGCGCAGAAGTGTACAGTCAATGGAGGGAACCTATGATCTAGTTGAGGCATAACCCGCGATTTACCCCCTCCAAAATTCTAAGGGTATGGGTCTTGGAAGTCCATAATTTAGTCTGGTGTAAGTTGGGATACCTGAATATCAAAAAATAATAATAATAATAATAAAATAATTGGGCACTCCATCCAATCAAACCCCCTTGTGCTGAATAAATGTAATGATGAACCAACAAAGCACCAGTTTGACATACACTAAATCAAAAATAATTTTCTCAAACCATTTTCATACATTCACAGTAAAATATTTTGCACATAAAAGGCTTTTAATGGTGTAATAATTACTGATTTGTCACTTAAGAGTGGAAATCTATATTACCCTGATTATTTATTTGATGTTTAGGATTAATGGCAACCTTGCACTTTCATAATATCCAAAGCGTCTGCAATCTTTCACATCCCCCCCCCCCCCCCCCCCCCAAACTCTTTTTAATGGTTGTCAAACATGATGAAAATGCCAAGTGCTCTCAATGATTGGATTTGAACATGTCAATTGTAAATACATCTACCACAAATCGTGATAATCATGAGTAATACATTTAATCACGATTTTGACTTTGATGTTGATCAAATTACAGAATGTAAAATTTTTCCAAACATTATGGCAAAAAATGATAGAATTGCAGTACTAGTGTTAATCATAATGATGTGAAAGTTAAGATCAAATGAACCATCTAATCACAATAATACACCAACAATCTTAGCCACTCCATTTATTAAATTCAAGTTTAGTACATTACACGTCAAATTTTGTCTCACTACTTGAAGAAATAGTGTTGACATCTAAATTATACGCATAAACCAGCGTAATCTTCAAGGGATTAGCATCGTATTATGATTAAACTGATTGACAGTGACCAGAAATGCAAGCAGCTTATATATAGTACTACAATATTTTTTGAAGAAAAAATTATATTAACTGATGATAGCAACAGAACATTTACATGATTTAATAAAAGCCATAGAATTAAGGATTTCTCCGATACTATGAATGAACATAGAACCTAAGCTGTAACAGATGTCTCGACTGCAACACCCGAGTAATTAACTTCAGCAACCTTATCGGTTTCCCAAAGCTCGGGCAATGCTTCTTTGAGATTATGGATGCTTTCGAATGCGTAATCTGCACCTTTTACTCTCTGAGATTTCCCCACCTGCGTGGAAATTTGAGCCAACATTCAGTCTATAATGACCATATTGAGCAAATTTTTATGTCGACTTAGCTTATGGATCGGCAATGCAACTTACCAGTACAGTATCAAGGCCTACGCGTTTTCCAGCCTGAATGTTTCGTACACTATCCTCGAAGAACAACTGCAGGATAAATGAAGACGGGCTTGAGTATATGCGAGTAGTTTAGAATTATCTTTTAGTGAAAGATGTAAAAAACCAGAAAGATGATCTTACTGTTCTATGTGGATCAATGTTGGCAATTTTAAGAGCCTTTTCAATGGCGGATTCTGATGGTTTGCAGACAATTGGTGTCTTTGGCAATCCAGTTGATTCTGCATTAGGCTGAGAAAAATGTCCAATTATGTCGAAAATCTTAGGGCTTGTGCTAAGGGGACGAGACAATTGTGTGGATCCCAGAAACTCGATATCATCCTCGTCATCAGAAACAGTGCTCTTGTGTGTAGGATTGAGAGTCTCGAAGCAGATGATCCCTTCAAAACAGTCTTCCAAACCAAGTCTTTTGAGAGCTTCGATGGCATGGACCTTATCAGAATTAGTGAAGATCTATCACAAAAAAGAAGAAGAAGAAAACATTAGTATTTCGTAGGAATACATTCATACACACTCTTCAGTACTAAAAAACCCCATGAGAAAGGACGTACAACTTTCCGAATAGGCAAGCTTAACAAAAGGCTTCTCAGAACAGGGTCCGGTTTCAAGTTTTCATAAGGTAACCTCCCATGGACAAAGCTGCAAAATTGGGAAAGTCACAGTTCAATAAAATGAAACATCCACGTGAAATAAGTAAACCGACCAAATCAGAAATCAAAGAATCGGGCTTTCTCACCTATGATATTCATCATAGTCGAAATCATAGCCAATTGCCTGCATAGAAAATATCCCTTAATAAATGGTCTTTATACAGAGTCACGCTGCTATTAACAATCGAAAGTAAGTAGAAATACTTACTCTAAGGCCTGCCATTGTAGTGCCGTAATTCTTGTACAAAAGATTACACAAGTCATCTATTTTGCTCTCTTCAATACCGAGCTTTTCAACCATGTAATCTGTAAAACATATACATAACAAATCAAACAACATATAAACATAAACAAATTTTTTGAACAGAAGGAAATAATCTTACCTTGAATGTTCTTAAGAACTGCTGTTGCCAGGCCAGCACTAAGGGGATAAAGAGTATCATCAAGATCTGAAAAGTACATATTGCGGTTCAGATACATTTTTTTTTCCAAATATTCTAACTTAAAACTAGTTGCAAATAATTGAGAAACTAACCAAATAGTAGACAATCATATTTTGATCTTTGAACCTGCCCAAATCGAATCTCGTATTCCATCTTGATCCTGAGTGGGTAACTGAAATACCGAATAAGTACGCGATTAGACTCTAAACAAACTTCCCAAAATGAAAATTCAGATTTAGACTCTATCTACAAGTTCTAATGGCTGGGAATGCTGCACAAAATTGTCGGCACTCCATAACCAGTTTTGTATCTTGAGCCAAATATCGAAAAAAGTTAAAATTCCAGAAGGTAAACAAGAATCAAATTCATCAGAAGAGAACCATTCATGATTTTGAAATCCACGAAATAATCTCTCTCTCTCACATTAATTTGTGAAAAAAAATTGAAAATGTCTAAAACCCATCAACAAAAAAGTCACATTAGCCTCCAAATCTAAAAACGTTGATTCTTTAAACCAATTAATCAATCACCTAAAACAAATATAATTTAGAGAAAAACACTGAAAATTATTAAACCCAAGACTACAACATACCGGAATTGGAATTAAAATGGAAAGAACAGGGAATCAAGGGGCTAATGCAGAGAGAAAAAGAGAGAGATTGCAAACTGCAATTCTTCTACACAGTGATTGAAGAGTGCAAAGAGAGGGGGAGGAAAAATGGAGGCATCCATTGAGTTTAAATAGACAAAACAGTTACGCCAATTTTTATTTTTTTTCAAAGTTTAAAAAAGAATGAGAATATTACATATTTACATCTTTTAGTCATGTTTAATTAAAAAGAGTTATTAATAATGAGTTTGAGTTTAATAGTAATACTTTCTGGAGACACTTTTACACAAGAAATCTCCATTCTGCCCCTCCAACCACGCTAACTTTCTTAGTATTTTATTATTCTTATTTTATGTTGTATGGTGCACAAGTTTCCTTAAAATAAATATCTAAAAATAAAAATCCAATTTCCTAAATTTCAAAAATCAATGAAATTACACTGACTTGACAAGTTGTGAAAATGTTATAACAATCAAAGTTTAGGAAAAAAAATAATAATATAATGATAAAAAAAAATTACTTTAGAAGTAAATTTACTTTAGTAAATGAGTTGTGTACAACTCTCTAACCATCTTCTTAATTGTATTGCATTGACAATTGAAATATTGTAAAATAATGTGATTGTTAAAGTTTACAAGAAATGTTGCAATCAAAACCAAAAGTTACATTGAGGACAACCTTCGTTTGAATCCTATTGAAGCAATAATTGAAGAGTTGTGAAAATGATATAACAATCGAAATTTAGAAAAAAGTTAATATAATGAAAAAAAAAACGACTTTAGAAGTAGATTAACTTTAAGTAAATGAGCGATGTAAAACTCTCTAACCATCTTCTTAATTGTATTGCAGTGACAATTGAAATATTGTAAAATGATATGATCGTCAAAGTTTACAAAGAAAGGTTGCAATCAAAACCAAAGTTACACCGAGGACAACCTTCGTCTGAATTCTATTGAAGCGATAATTGAAGAGTTGTGAAAATGATATAACAATCGAAGTTTAGAAAAAAAAAATATAATGATAAAAATTATTACTTTAGAAGTAAATTTACTTTTAAGTAAATGAGTTATGTACAACTCTCTAACCATCTTCCAACTCTCTAACCATCTTCTCAATCTTATTGCAGTGACAATTGAAATGTTGTAAAATGATATGATCGTCAAAGTTTACAAGAAAGGTTGCAATTAAACCCAAAAGTTACACTGAGGACAACCTTCGTCTGAATTCTATTGAGGCGATAATTGAAGAGTGTATGAAAATGATATAACAATCGAAGTTCAAAAAAAAAAAATTACTTTAGAAGTAAATAAGTTGTGTACAACTCTCTAACCATCTTCTTAATTTTATTGTAGTGACAATTGAAATGTTGTAAAATGATATGATTGTCAAAGTTTACAAAAAATAGAAGCAATAATTGAAAAGTTGTGAAAACGATGTAGCAATTGAAGTTTAGAAAAATAAAATAAAATAATATGATGATAAAAAAATTACTTTAGAAGTAAATTTACTTTAAGTAAATGAGTTGTGTACAACTCTCTAACTATCTTCTTTATTGTATTGCATTGACAATTGAAATGGTGTAAAATGATATGATTGTCAAACTTACGAGAATGGTTGCAATCAAAACCAAAAGTTACTTTGTGCTTGTGTAGAAGCGATTTTTTTAAATAACTTCATTCTAGGAAAAAAGAAAAAAAAATCATTTTTTACATTTTATTTTTTTAAATATTTTCCTTACTTTTTAACCAAATACAAAAAAATCAAGCACTTTAAGACTCGATTATTGTATGCAAAAATTTTGTGATTTGCTAATAAAGCGTGATGCAAATTGGCCTTGAAATGTTGCCAAATTTGAAAAAATTCGCAAAATTAGTTAATTTTTATGCTAAAATACGCAGAAAATTCTTTTTGTAAAAATGACCAAATTCTTTTTATGACAAAGATTACATACTACAAATGGTTTGTGCACAAATCTTGAGACCAAACCAATAGCTTTCATGCGAAACTCTATAAATGACACATCCTATTAACCAAAAAATAATACTAATTAATGAAAATTTAATGTAATTAACTAATATAAAAAATCGAAATTGAAACCTCAAAATTGTATTGTAAAAAATAAATTTTAAATTAATCACATACGAGTTCAAGCATAGAATTACTTATGAACCATTAAGGAAAATGAATTTGCATCTTATACATGCAATTAAACAAAATAATTTTTGTGACACATCCTATTAGTCAATTGATAATACTAATTAACGAATTAGATCTCTTTTCACGACAGAAAAGAGGCAACACTTGATTTTTTTTTTTTTTTATGATCATCGGTATTCGAACCAATTCACGCGCACCTCGACTAATTTCACGAGACCCTGAAGTTTACAACTGAGTACTCACCTTAGTGGCCTTGAGGAGACTCGAACTGGTGACCGGTAACAATTGATAATCTTTGAGAATGAAATGCGGTGAATGGACGGCGGTTCGAGAGAAATAATAAAGGATTTTGAAATGTAATTGGAAATTGAAAGATTTTTAAGGACATTTTCGTCCATCTATTTTAAAAATAGTCGGTGATGCCAACCTATCAATGTTTGACCATTTCAAAAATACGATATCTCATTTATTAACAATACATTTTTAATTATACGTGTGTAAACATCTACCTCATTTGTTGCGTAGCTTAAATTAATAAAGCATCAAGTATTTTGCCAACTTTATGTTCACATGGGAGTTCAAAACTGGACCGTACTTTTCTATTTTCTTTCCCCTTTTTTTTTAACAAAAAAAAAAAAAAAAAAAAAAAAAAAAAGGATGTTTACGTACTTTTAATATTTTCTCTTTTGTATGTGATTTTTCTATTTTATCTCTCTATTTTTTTTTGATATCCAAGTATCCCAATTTACACTAGACTAAATCCTAGACCTTCAATACCCATGTCCCTAGAAGTTTGGAGGAGATAAATCGCGGGATATTTTATCTCTCTATTTCTAAATGCATGAATAGTGTTGTTATGCATCTCAAGATTCTATAGATAGCTAAATTTTTGACTCCTGCATAATTATCAAACTCGAGTTCTCGGCTCTAAACCCTTGTTTGCCTACCATTAAAATACATATTAATTTTCAAATTAATTTTTAATCACACGTTCATGTAATAAAATATTTTGCTTGTAAACACAATTTTCTTTACCGCTCATTCTCCAAAAAATTACTATTCCAAAACTCATTTTCCAACCAAAAGAAAAAAAAACATTAAAATGAATGCGAGGGCTAAATCTTTTTTAGAGTCATCGCTTTCTTTCTAACTTTATCTCTCCAGCTTTGCCTTTACTTCCTAAAATCGACTCTCTTGGTGGGCACATGTAGAGATATTATCTAAATGTTGGATTTTAATTTATTATGTGAACCTACATATATAATTAAGTGTACATTAAAACCATCTTAAGGTAAAAAATAAAATTTAAATTATTCACATATGAACTCAAGCATAGAATTACTTACGAACCGTTATAAGAAAAATGAATTTGCATCTAGTACATGCACTTAAACAAAATAATTTGATTATTTGATTACTCATTACTTTTTAAGGTAAAAGATAAATGCGTGGATGTGTATTCTATATGAATATTGTTGCCATTGTGTGGACTAGTATCTAAGGAGTCTATTTATGGTTAATCTAATTAAGTTGAAGTGGTTCATAACTTATATTTTCTCCACTCTTGTAGCTTGTGGTGCCATTGTGTTAGTTCTAACTAGTTACTCCCATTTCTAATTAAAAACTCTATTAAAAAAACCTCACTTTAAGAAAATGGCTCGTCCTTTTAATTATGTTGTACTGACAATTAAAATGTTGTAAAAAATTAAAAGAAAAATTGCAATCAAAATCATAAGTTACCTCGAGTCTGTGTGGAAGTAATTTTTTGAAAATAACGTTTCTCTATACTCATATTCAATCACACATTCTAAAATAATCAAATTTTACATTTTTTTCATAAATATTGAACCAAATATTTTACAAACAAAAAAACTCTCACACAAGCACTTTAAAACTCAATTACCGTATGCAACGATAAGGTGTGATGCAAATTCCTATATCTTAACATTAGAGGGTTGGAGATTGTGGACTTGAAATGTTATCAAATTTGGAAGACTTTGCAAAAGTAGCAATTTTCACGTCAAATTAGAATCTATTATTTTTTGTAAAAATGACCAAATTTTTGTATTACTGAAATTACAAAGTACAAATGATTGTTGCACAAATCTCGAGGCCAAGTCAATAGTTTTCATGAAAAGCTTTGTAAGTGATATATTTCCATTTAATCAATTGATAATACTAATTAACGAATTAGATCTCTCTTCACGAAAGCAGAAAAGAGGCAGCACTTGATAATTTTTGTGAATGAAATGTCGGTGAATAGATGGTGGTTTGAGGGAAAAAAATAAAGGATATTGAAATGTGATTGGAAATTGAAAAATTTTTAAGGACATTTTCGTCCATCTATTTTAAAAATAGTTGGTGATGCCAACCTGCCAATGTTTGACCATTTCAAAATACGTTGTCTCATTTTTCAACGGGCTTGTACAGTGTACATTTTAAATTATACGTGTGTAAACATCTACCTCATTTGTTGCATAGCTTAAATTAATAAATCATCAAGTATTTTGACAACTTTAATGTATTCACATGTGGAGGCCGGCCTGCCCTCCAGCAAGTTTGTATTAATAAATAACTCTCGTATATATTTTTATTCATTCAAAAAGAAGAACAAGATATTTACGTATTTTTAATATTTTCTCTTTTATATGATTTTTCTATGAGTAATGTTATTCATAATCGTTCATTGTGCTAATCGTCATACGTGACATCTTACATGAAGGGTCGTGATTTTAATGTATTAATGTGGTAGTATTTTCTTACCTCATTCAGCAAATCATTACCGTCATATTCATGTTATCTAGGACGACTGCGATAGTGAGTAATTACAAATAACATTATTCTTTTTTCTATTTTATCTCTCTATTTCTAAATGCATGCATAGTGTTGTTGTATATCTCAAAATCCTCTAGGTATCTAAATTTTTGGCTCCTACGTAATAATCAAACTCGTGTTCTCGACTGTAAGC